TCTCAGCCTTTCTGGTGTCCTACTAATGACACTGTTAATTCCACCATCACAGAAATTAAAGGTCCACTGCTTCTGAGAAGATTTTCTGAGAAGAATATTTCATAATGTTATTTTCTCCTTTATAATTGGTATTAAGAACATAAAAATATGTTGTTATTGTTTGGAGTAAAGGGAAATAAAGAATAATTCAATTAATAATTGAAAACTGTTATGAAAACTATATCTCTCTGACATTTCATGGAATCAGAGAGTTTGCAGAGACCATAAGTGCCATTCAGTCCAACCATGCTATCATATTGATGTTATGTGTACAACTGATTGATACTCACTAAATACAAAGGCAGATTGAAGCTGTCCATATTTAAGCAGTAGTAGGATATTCTGGATCTCAGAACATCACACTACCACTGCCATAATATAGTATGACATAAAATGTATTCTTCTTAAAAGTGATTTTTCTTTGCAGTCTCTGATTTTATGTTAACCGGACTCTTGTGTAGTCTGAAAACAGAAGGACTACTTTGTTAAATCATAACACTATGTAACAAAATTTGAAAAGTTTCTGTTCCTGATTGGAAAGTGTTATTTCTTATTTAATTATGTGGTACTTTGAAAGTAGTTTTTATACTCCAGGAACTTCATTTTTATGGCTGCCACAAACTATTGGTTGAGACTCCATGAGATATTCATTGAAAAACTATAGCAAAATGTGCTGCAGGATGTCCCACAAAAACAAAGTTTTTTTGCAGTTTAATAAACATTTTACATGTTTTTATGATAGAACCAATTAGGAAATGGCGTTTATAACCAGGAACAAAAATCATGTTACATAGCGTAATGAAAGGGAAAAAGGCATCAGCATATTATTTGCCCTTGATTTCAATCTCACTGAAGCCATGAACCCACTAAATGATTTAATACAATTACCTGTTCATGCCCTCAGTCCCATGATTAAGAAAATGGGGTATAATCCTGCCGTCTTATCTTGAAAAATATGTGTAATGATTACAATGAAGCCATGTATGTAAGCTGCTGTGAATCCTTGAAAATACTATATAAATTTTCAGTGACATCTAAACCATTACAGTTGTAGTCACTTGCTTACTGAACATGAGGAGAGTCCACAAGTATAGGATCATCAGTCCAGACTTGGCTCAGCCTAGCATAAATATGTGCAAGCAGAGATATGTTGTACCAATACTATATAACCCTTATGAAGAATAGCAACACTGCACTATATGACAATGGCTGGATGCACTTGTGCAATGTGCAAATACAATGCACAGTATACAACTGCAAGGCACATCATTGCAGTTTGTGCAACTCTGCTTTATCCACTGTAAGAATAATAAGTCTACATGTATAGCTAATGTGCTCTTCTCTTTACGTGTTAATTTAATACACTTTATAAACTCATGAATTGGGCATATGTGGACAAAAGTATTGATTATATTTGTGCCTCATCACTTTACAAGTTTTAATTTGGAAGCAGGGGTTAAGCCTTGACCTTTTCTCTATCTCCTTGGAAACTTTCTTCAGAATTGTCTCCATGGACTGTAGAAGGCATTAGAAATCTGTTCAGGTAAATGTTGTAATTATGTGTGCAACATAGGAGGTTGTGTGTTGGTGAGTGTGTTATGACATTGAGTGGGTGGTTGCAGCCTTCCACGGTCCAGGAATCATGTGTAGTATCTGGATTAAGATCTTGCTTCTATTCCTAAGCACTTAATTGATCACTAATTTTCTGACTGGTTTGAGGATATATATATAGCCCCAGCATCTGGTGTTTTGTTATGGATGCTCACCTATGAAAGAATATGCATTGCTACTTCCTTATCCACGGATTTGATATCCATGGTTTCATTTACTCATGCTCCAAAAAATATTGGTTTTGGGTCTCTCTAGGTCCTCCAGCACAATTCTGTGGTGTGCATTCAGCCCAAGTATAGTCGATTCAGTGTATGTATAGACTGGGGCAAGTGTATGTGCTTTAAGAGACATGGATCATTTAAACACTTTACCACTTATTTCAATGAGAGGCTGGATATGCTGGTTTCTGTACATTTTTCAGTCTTTGAAATGTTTCCTGGCCTGCAAAGTATTGATTTTTGTTTGGAAAACAAAAGCATGGTATTATATTTCTCTGTTTTAATGATGAAGCGTGTTTTGGAAGCCAGGCTTGAACTATAAACATATAAGATATACATCTGTTTTCCATTCAAAATAATTCTGAGAAATGATTTATAAAAGAATAGCTGGGTGAATCTTGAACACATTTAATACAATTTCAAACTGTTTTAAGAGACAATTTGAGATTGGCAAAACATTCTTTGGTGCTAATTAAACCACAAAAACTGTTCAGATCACAGCATTATGCTCAATATTCATGGCTATTTCTTTATTAGTTTTTTTAAAAAATAAGTAAGCATATTGCTTCCAGGAAAAAGAGAAAACTTCCACACAGACCATGTTATTATATGAATTACTGACCGAGTAAGCTCATTAACCACATTTAGACAACATTTGTGGCTCTTACATACAGATCTTGGCATAAAGGTAGGAAAATATTAGCAACAAGGATACAATACTTTGATTTGGGGGCAATTTTACAATTCAGCTGGTAATGTGATGCCCAAACATATTATATTTTTAAAAATATATGACACTTCCTACTTTCTTTGTCTAGAACCTCACTATGTTTTACCTTTGAACCCATTTATTCTCAACTTTTTATTTGCTGTTGCAAAATGTTTGGGCTTGGAATTTCACCGGGAGAAGAACTGGGGCAAAAATTCACGAAGCATTGGATTCTGTGTTTTACAGATTTGTCTGTTCTTCTGCAGATTCAGTCACTAGCTCAAGTTTGTGCACATATGCCTGCCATCAGCAGATGTAGTTTTTATCTAAGTCTGTTGCAGATTTTAAAAATTCCCATAAAAATCTTACTGTATCTTAATGGATAGCATATGTACTGTGGCACAAGCATTTGTAGGTTAGGACCCAGATTATTGAAGGGGCCTAGGGCAGGGCTTCTTAAACTTTTCCACTCAGGATCCCTTTTGGCCAGATAATTTTTACATGACCCCAGGTATATAGGCATATAAACAGGTTAAAAAATCCAACATTTACTGATAACAAATCAGCATTTGCAAGGCTTGCTAAACAGGCTGATTTTCCTGAAGCATCTTTTGCAGAATCCAGTGTAAACACTACACAACAGATCCATGGAAATGTCTAAAACAGTCACTAGGTGATGTTCAGAAAAGTTTTCCTGTTTTTTGTGACCCCAACATTGAGCTAAGGGGACCCCATTAGCAGTGGTCTAGAAAGGTGGTTGGTGGACCTGGGATCTCTAGAGACATTGTGTCTCCAGTGGTGGTTCCCCGGAGCACAGCCACCATATAAAACCGGACTGTGCCATGTGTAGTTCTAAGACATTGCCCTTGAGAGTTTTCTTGTTACTTTTGAAATTACATTTCAAAGTCTGTATGCAAAGTCCTCTCACAATTATGGCCTGAATCCTATTGAATAGACCCAATCAATCAATAGCTTCTTATCTATTTGTTGACAACAAAATCTATGGGTCTAATTAGGACTTTAGAGATTGCTTTAGCAAAGCGTTTCTCAACCTGGGGGTAGGGACCCCGGTTGGAGGGCGTTCATGAGGGGGTCTCAAGGGGTCACCAAAGACGATCAGAAAACATATATTTCTGATGGTCTTAGGAACCCCTTTGGCAGAGAACGCTGAAGATCTCTTTGCTTGTCCTCTTCCTTTTTTGAAACAGGCTGTGAATCCTCCCATCAAAAGCCTTCCTCCACTGCGATTGGCTCGCCTCTCAGCCAAGGGGAGGGCTGTTTCTGAGACTCCAAGCAGGGAGGGGAGAGCAGGCATGCTCGGTGCATGGCAGCATGGTGCGCATGTGCAGGCAAGGGAGAGCGTGTGACGGTGGCTCATGCCAGCAAGTCTCTTCAAGGCATGGGGGTTCTGTGTGGGAAGTTTGGCTCAATTCTATTGTTGGTGGGGTTCAGAATGCTCTTTGATTGTAGGTGAACTATAAATCCCAGCAACTGCAACTCCCAAATGTCAGGGTCTATTTTCCCCAAAGTCAACCAGTATTCACATTTGTGCATATGGAGTATTCGTGCCAAGTCTATCATTGCTTGAGTCCACAGTGCTCTCTGAATGTAGGTGAACTACAACTCCAAAACTCAAGGTCAATATCCACCAAACCCTTCCAGTATTTTCTGTTGGTCATGGGAGATCTGTGTGCCAAGTTTGGTTCAGTTTCATTATTGGTGGAGCTCAGAATGCTCTTTGATTGTAGGTGAACTATAAATCCCAGCAACTACAACTCCCAAATGACAAAAGCAATCCCCCCAATCCCACCAATATTCAAATTTGGGTGTATTGGGAATTTGTGCCAAATTTGGTCCAGTGAATGAAAACACACCCTTCATATCAGAGATTTACATTACGATTCATAACAGTAGCAAAATTACAGTTAGAAAGTAGCAAACAAAAATAATTTTATGGTTGGGGTTTACCACAACATGAGGAATTGTTTTATAAAGTATTATTATTATTATTATTATTATTATTATTAACTGTATTAAGGGGTTGCAGTATTAGGAAGATTGAGAAACACTGCTTTAGCATATAGCTACACTCTTGAAAATAGGAGTATGAAAAATAACCTCAAGATACTTAATAACATTAGCTTTATTACCTGAGTACAATATAGTTAGATATAAACACAATATATTGTGTAGTGAATGGCCTTGGGTTCCATACTGGGAGAATGGCAGGGTATAAAATAGATACATTCATTTCTTTTATGGTATTTGCACATTTCTGTAAGCCATCTTGAGAATGTCTCTTTCTCTCTCCGTGTGACATAAGTCTCTTAAATAAATAAATAAATAAAGTAGCTTATTGTGGAGAAAAGCGGGCTGCATGCCAAATCTTCTTAAAATATCTTTGTAAATTCTTTTCTATTTTAGATTTTGGTCTTGGGAGAAGCATGCAAATGAATTGAAATAGGCATGGCATTCCTTGCTCTATCAGTACAACGGTAAGTGCGGCAGGACTGCTGCTGTTTTATAAAGCCTACTCTGTTTTTTGCAGGAGGGTTTTGCAGCCAGCCCTCTGATATATATATCTGAAAATAGGGATAAAAGAGGATTAAACAGGACTGTCCCTGCAAATTGTGTTTATTGAGTATGGTAAATGTGTTGTATATGTGCTGTATAAGTAAGGCTACAAGGAATCTGAGCCTTGGTGGGAATGGCAGCAACTGGGCACACTTTGCTACATACCCTTGTGGTGGAAAGTACATCTCTTTCCTGGCTCTGGTTTGTCATATTATTTGTCTAGCTGGGTATTACGCAAATGCTGGACCCATTACCTCATGCCTGATGCCACATTTAGCTGCCACAGAAGCAGCTGGCTTCTCATGGCTGGCTGTTGTGCAGGAACTTTTATTTGTATTTCTTATGCAGGCTGCCATTTATCAGGGAGAGCCTTAAAAATGAACAGCAATTGAGTGATTGGTACAATTAATTCCATTGCTTCAAATGAGTGAGATTCTTTATATTTGGCATGGAATATTCACTGCAGAGAGAAGAAAGAAGAATATGTTTCCAATTTTGGCTTTTGTATTGTCAATGACTCAGAGGTGACCAGTCACACAAGTGGATTTCAGAGGACCTTCTTACTTATCTCATCCCAGAAGATCTGTGCTGCGTGTGTTTTAATCTTCATGCTCCCCTAAAAAAAGAGAAGGAACTTATACAATAGCCACTTTTTCTAGGACATAATCATATGACGTAAGGCATAATTATTCCATTTACCCTTCCCAGCCTAAGGGTATTGAAATATATGTACAGCCCAACTTTGTGTGTGTATTGTGGGCATGTCTCTGGCTGGTGGAGATTTGGATTGGGTATAACTGTGCTCCTCTTTTACCCTGACCCTCCTCTGCCCCCTACTGGTGTGTCTGCCTGCCAATCTTAGATAGCAGAACAGCTCTGATGCAGGGAAATTACAGTCTGGGCAGATTGTTGTGTCTAGCTGGCAGAAGAGGGTCCTGCTGGCAGAAAAGCATTTTTAAGTCTCTTCAGCTGGCATATATTTGAGGTAGCAGTGCACTGTGAGGTTCTAAGTGTCCAGTTTTTCACACAATAGCTCAAAATAAATACACAAATTGATCTTCAGGGTATGTTTTTAAATATAGAATTTTAGAATCATGGACTTGAAATGGGCTGCTCCAACTGGTCCAAATGCTCCAGCTACGGCATCCCCAGGGTGATCTGTCCTGCCCCCTTTTAAAGACATTCTAACTAGAAGATCTCTGCAAGAGTCCTAGGCTCCTGCTACACTGCCATGTAATTCAGATTATCAAAGAAGATAATCCAAATTATAGGAACCCCTGGTGGCACAATGAGTTAAACCCTTGTGCTGGCAAGGTTGGTGGTTTGAATCGGGGGAGGAGAGTGAGTTTCCATCTGTCAGTTCCAGCATCTCATGAGGGGCCATGAGAGGCCTCCCACAGGATGTTAAAACATTTGGGTGTCCCCTGGACAATGTCCATGCAGACGGCTAATTCTCTCACACTAGAAGTGGCTTGCAGTTTTCCAAGTTGCTCTTGACATGAAAAAAAATCCAAATTATCTGCTTTGAACTGGATTATATGAGTCTACATTGCCATGTAATCCAGTTTAAAGCAGATAATCTGGATTTTATATGTCAGTGTAGAAGGGGCCTTAGTTATATATTCTTAGGCAGCAGAAAATAAGACTTCACACTTTGCTTTGTGAGGTATTCAAAAAGTACAATCCCATCACACCCCCCCCCCCCCCCGTATTTTCTTCACCAAGCTGAACACATGCCTGGCTCATCAACCTCTTCTCGTATGTTTTGTTTTCCATTCCTCTTATCGTCCTTATTGCCTTTATCTGAACTTGCTCCAACATATCCATATCTTTTTAAAAACAACATACCAGAACCTAACATTTGTATACCTCCTCTGGGCTGAGAAAGGTGGTATAAAAATACAGTAAATAAATAAATAATAAATATCATTAGTGGAACAGACACCTGATAGCCAGCCGAGTTGTCTTTCAGTTCAGCAAGATTCCCAAAAGGAAGAGGAATTGGAAGAAAGACTCCCCAATCCCTGAAAAAGATGAAGACTTTGGACATCATCACATTGAGGTCCAAATCTGTGGACCAGTGGGGATGATTTGCCATGCACCATGGCAAATCCATGGGGCAGCAATGGTGGTGGGGGAACCACATCACACACTGCACCCCTTACCCCATCCCACGAGGGGAAGCAACACTGCCCAGCTTTCCACCATTCTTCCCTAAGGAACATGGGAAGCCTCCCGTTTTCCCAGGGAATGTCCTAGCATGCTGCCAGGATGCTTCCTCTACAGAGTCCCTCCAGAAGTTGCCTTACATCATGTGATGGCATCCAGTCGGCTCCGAGGAGGAAGTATCCTGGCAGCGTGCTAGGACACCTTTTTCTCTGCATGTGATGAAGTCCTTTGATGTCTGCCCCATGCTGTCCCCTAATGTCTGCCCCATGCTGTCTGCCCCATGCTGCTTTCTGCCTCGAGGAGAACACAGTTACAAAATGGGCTCCTTGAATACTAACCAGAATGTGATCATGGTCTGAACTGGGTGCTTTCTTATAGCAAACTGCTGGCTTCAACAATTGCTCTATTAGTACCGATTTATTACTGTTGGAATGCCTTGATGACCCTTCCACCTCTACTCCTTGGACTTTGTTCTGATTTATGGTTTTCTTGACTTTGGGCTGTTTGATACCAGATACTAATTATTTCCATGGCTGCTGATTTTGGCACTTTGAACTATTGTTCAACTTTGAGAGCAGGAAAGTGACCTTCATCCTATCCCTGTGCATTTGGTTTTTATGGCTTAAAGGTATAATTTTGCAATTATTGAATCACTTCTGTTTTCTATCAAGGGTCTTTCGAATTATGTTCCCATCTTCTAATATGTTAACTACCCTTCCCAGTTTTGTTTCATTGGCTAATTTGATAAGGAGTCCCTCCACTATATCATCTAAATTATTAAATAAAATATTGAAGAGTGTCAACCTTAGGACAAAACACTGAGGCACCCCACTTGAAACATCTTGCTAATTTGAAGCACAATCACTGATGACATCTGATCAGGGTTTTCCAACCAATTATGCAAGACCTCTGACCCCACTCAATGTGATCCCTTGGGGGATGGGTTCACGGGTTTGGGTAAGAGGGGTAGAGGTTTGATAAGAAGTGATAATTGCACAGTCAGTAATAATTTACATGGAGCCCCTGGTGGTGAAGTGGGTTAAAGCGCTGAGCTGCTGAACTTGCTGACCGAAAGATTGCAGGTTCAAATCTGGGAAGTGGCGTGAGCTCCTGCTGTTCGCCCCAGCTTCTGCCATCCTAGCAGTTCGAAACATGCAAATGTGTTACTGCTCCAGTGGGAAAGCAATGGTGCTCCATGCAGTCATGCCAGCCACATGACCTTGGAGGTGTCTATAGACAATGCTGGTTCTTTGGCTTAGAAATGGAGATGAGCGCCAACCCCCAGAGTCAAGCACAACTGGACTTAATGTCACGGGAAAACCTTTACCTTAATAATTTACATATGTTTTGCATTAGATTACCATATAATGTCTTGTTAACATTTTTATGTATTTTTTCTTTTTTCTTTTCTTTTTTCATTTACATAATAAAATAAAAAGTTATTTTTTAAAAAACAAAAAACCCCAACCAATTAAGGATCCATATGATGGTATTTCTATTTATTTAATAAAAGTGAGCAATTTGGTTAAACCTCATTCTGTTTTCGTTATCCGTATTTCAATGGACCCCAGATCCGTTTTTCAGGAGCCTCCCAAATTTGGTTGGGGGAAAAAAAAATCAATTTTTCAATCCGGCAAGTAAAAGATCCGAGAAGATCCAGCCTATTGGTGGCAATGGGGAACTTACAAGGCTTTTAAATGACATTTTAAGGGAATCTGTTTTAAGAAACCAGCCTTTCTAGGATCCTTTCTCCTTATATCCTTCAATAAGACCTGGATTAAAGGCATCAGATTTAAATTACCTCCTCATTTTATGGCAGCTTAAAAAATGTCAGGATACCTCTTCCCCACGTCAGTTTCTTAAGGGTGTAGAAAGTAAACAGATTATTTATTGCTATTTGAGTCAAAAAGCAAGCTAAGCAATGAAGAGTTGCAACTTGCACTGAGAATTTAGATCACCAATCTGTCTCTCTCAGAAACCTGCTCGCAACAGAAACATGGAAGCCCAGCTTTGCTAAAACACACTTACTGTAGCCAAAAGAAACAGGAAGCAGTCATTTTTGACAGTAACATGGATTGTTGCAACCTGAAAAAAATGGCAGCAGAGCCTGTGCCATTACAGCTGGCTGAAAGAGCCGGAACAGCCAGAGCCCATTTTGAAACATGGATCTGTGCACAGCTTTAGTATTTACTCAGTGCTTATCAAAATATCAAATAGTTTGTTGAAATCCAGATAAACTACATCCACAGCATTCCAACTGTCTACTAAATTAGTGACTGGATTTTTAAAAGGTATAATGTTAGTTTAGTTCTTCATGGTTGTCTTTGAGATATTGAATATTGAGCCAAATTTTGCATAAGGATATCCTTGAACTGTAGTATTGGAGGGAGGTTGGATTTGAAGTTATTGGGATCCTTTCTAATCCACCACTCATTTTGGTCCTTCCCAAACATATGATGGCCTTTTGTGTGGTCAGAGTGCATTTCCCCCCCAGCAATTTCTGTACTGTTACCTCATTCTGTCCCTGCCCCCCATCCTTTAACCTTTTAGCAGAGATGATAGGTTCCACAGTCTCCTGGGCATTAGTGTGTCATACTGGCAGACCTATGAACTATAAGTGACATCTGGATAAAAGAGGAAAACAATCCAATTGTAAAACCTCACTTGTCATTTTTTACCCATAGTAACAGGATATTGATTTTTTGACTGGGAAATAATGCAATAGGAAATTAAAGTACATATTCTTTCTTAT